TCGCTACCGAGTATGCAGTAAAGTGTAAAATAAAACTACAGTCAAACAAAATTACCGCACGAGGTTTGTCAAGCACTGGATGCAATAAAATGAAAAGCTCCGTTTCTGGTGAAGGTGTCATTCGGTTATGCACCGTGTTCATTGAGAATGGACCTACGCCCTTTCTGAGATAGCATTCGAGTCAATGTTTTTTTGCTTCAACACGAGGGTGGGTGAGTGAATGGATAGGTGAGTAGATGGGTGGGTGGGTAGGTGAGTAAATGGGTGGGTGGGCGGGTGGGTAGGTGAATAGATGGGTGAGTGGGGGAATGGGTGGGTGAGAGAGTTAGTGGGTGAGTGAGTGAATGAATGGGGGAGTGATGGGTGAGTGAGTGGGTGATTGGGTGAGTGGGTAGGTTGAGTGAGTAGGTGGGCGAGTTAGTGAGTGGATAGCTGAGTGGGTGGGTGAATGGGTGGGTGGGTGAATGGGTGGGTGGGTGAATGCGTGGGTGGGTGAATGGGTGGGTGGGTGGGTGAATGGGTGGGTGGGTGGGTGAATGGGTGGGTGAATGGGTGGGTGGGTGATTGGGTGGGTGAGTGGGTGGGTGAGTGGGTGGGTGATTGGGTGGGTGAGTGGGTGGGTGAATGGGTGGGTGCTCGGGTAGGTGCTTGGGTGGAAGAGTGTGTGGATAGGTGATTGGGTGGGAGAGTGAGTGCGTGGGTGAGCGGGTGAGTGTGTAAATAACCACAGCCATTATAACTACAACCACGTTATAACCATAACCAATACGGCACATAACCTCAACGGCCGCCAATATAATCACAGCCAAAACTGCATCATAACCACAAACTTAACCACGTTATGAACACAGCAAGCAAAACCACCACAGTATAATAACATCACCACAGCAGGCAGAATGCAACCACAATAACCTGATTTGTGTGGTCTCCTGGCACTGTTGTTGTCGTTTTTGCTGCATTTCCCCACTAAGCACCCATACTGTAGCAGTGTTGCAAAATCGGCAGGGAATGTGAGCGAGTGCTTGTGCAATGTGTACTGATTTGTTAAACGCCTTAATTTATTTAAGTTTAGTTACTTCAAATCATATTCTGAAGCAGCATATTTATGCTCCACATTTAAGAAGCAATATCACCACGCGGTTTCGAAGATTCGCCTGGTGAATTTCGATTTAAAGCTTTCGTGACTGCAAGGATTCATCTTCTTTGGTTATTTCGGTAAAGTCACGTAGAATGAGAATAAAATAATAAAATAAAATATTTTATTTTATTAAGAACGTTCGCCTGGTGCTATAAATTCACGCACGACGATTATATTAGCAGCTACTTGCTTGAGCAGCGATCAGTTGTGACAGCCCGATCCGTTTCTGAAAAAGATCCACGCAATAGCTCAGTGGGGCCTTAAATGGTACAATGATGAACATAGTTTAGTTTTAGTATGGGTCTCGATTAGTATTTGTCTCTGTGGTGCTATATTGTTCTCTACGAGTGTTTGGATCTTTGTGGGTCTCTATGGGTCTCTATGATGACGGGTCTCTATGGGTCTCTAACATTCTCTACGTGTCTCTGGATCTCGATGGGTGTCTATGGGTGTCTATGGGTCTCTCTGCGGCAGTAGAAACACGCGTTTAGAGGATTTGTCTACTGCTATTAATTTCCACGTGATGATGATGATGATGATTCTTGACTTAAAACTTTTGTGACTGAAGGAATTCATATTCTCGGGTCTTTCCGTAAAGTCACGTAGATTGGTTAATTCTTTTTTTATTTTACAAAAAACTACGACGTTTCAATCGCAACACAAGCGATGGCTTGTTCTTTGTAATTTTTCGTATTGTATTTTTACCTCTCTACGTGACTTTATCGAAAGTCCCAAGAGTAAGATGATGATAAGCCATTACTTCGTTGACCTGCCATTATTTGTGATGGCCAGGTCGCTTCTGTAAAAAAAAACTACACAGCAACTCAATAGCGCCTTGCACCTGGTTAAATGAAAGTGGAATAGTGTGTGGTATAGTGTGTGGTATAGTGTGTGGTATCGTCCGTGGTATAGTGCGTGGTATAGTGTACGGTATAGTGTATGGTATAGTTTAGCAAAATCGGCATGAATGTATGCACTTGTGTAATTTGTACTCATATACTTTATTTATTTTATTTGTTGCGACGTAAAAACATAAATATCCTGAAGCAGAAGTTTAGCACTGGACACAGCAATCACAATTTGCAAACGTGATTTGTAACTTTGATCCTTCACCTCTATAGTTTAATTCGACTGAGGGTCTGTTGTTTCCTTGATGATGCCTGAGAATATTTTATGTCTTGGTGTGGTCTGGGACTGTTGTTGTTGTTGTCTTTGTGTGGTCTAGGACTGTTGTTGTTGACTTGGTGTGGTCTGGGACTGTTGTTGTTGTCTTGGTGTGGTCTGGAACTGTTGTTGTTGTCTTGGTGTGGTCTGGGACTGTTGTTGTTGTTGTCTTGGTGTGGTCTGGGACTGTTGTTGTTGTTGTCTTGGTGTGGTCTGGGACTGTTGTTGTTGTTGTTGTCTTGGTGTGGTCTGGGACTGTTGTTGTTGTTGTCTTGGTGTGGTCTGGGACTGTTGTTGTTGTTGTCTTGGTGTGGTCTGGGACTGTTGTTGTTGTTGTTGTCTTGGTGTGGTCTGGGACTGTTGTTGTTGTCTTGGTGTGGTCTGGGACTGTTGTTGTTGTTGTTGTCTTGGTGTGGTCTGGGACTGTTGTTGTTGTCTTGGTGTGGTCTGGGACTGTTGTTGTTGTCTTGGTGTGGTCTGGGACTGTTGTTGTTGTTGTCTTGGTGTGGTCTGGGACTGTTGTTGTTGTTGTCTTGGTGTGGTCTGGGACTGTTGTTGTTGTCTTGGTGTGGTCTGGGACTGTTGTTGTTGTCTTGGTGTGGTCTGGGACTGTTGTTGTTGTCTTGGTGTGGTCTGGGACTGTTGTTGTTGTCTTGGTGTGGTCTGGGACTGTTGTTGTTGTTGCTCTCTTGGTGTGGTCTGGGTCTGTTATTTTTTCTGCCTTCTGGATTATTTAGAAATACTGCTTGTTGTTGTTGGTCTTGTTGTGTTTAGTTTGTTGCCCTTCCCCAACACCTCCGATCAGCACGGTTGAGTATGTACGGTGGCGAAATAAGTTCAACATACACACACATGCATAGACTCATCACACATAGACCCATAGACTACTCACACATAGATCCATAGACTCACACAGCGACCAATAGACTCACACAGAGATCGACAATCTCGTACAGACACATATACCCAAAGACTCACACAGAGATCCATAGAATCACACGTAGACTTAATGTCCCAAACGTGCAGTTAAGTGCTGGGACATCGGCAGGAATGTTACGTACTTATGTAATTCGAACTAATACACTTTTTTATGTTTCAGTGGCTTGGTTAGCTTTGCTGTAGGCTGCACGCCCGCTTAAAATGTAAAAACAAGTTATAGGCGCAGCCCCGCAATTATCTGCTTACCACGGGTGGTGGAAGGTCACTGACTGGATATCACAGAGTGAGTAGATGGGCGGGTGAGTGGGTTGGTGGGTGTGTGGCTGAGTGGTTGGGTGGTTGATTGAGTGAGTGGGTGGATGGATGAGTGGATGAGTAGGTGGATGAATAGATGAGTGGGTGAGCGGTTGGGTGAACGGCTAAGTTATTCGGTGGGTGAGTTGGATGGATGAGTGGGTGGGTGGATGGATGGATGAGTGGGTGGGTGAGTGGCTGAGCGGTTGGGTGAGTAATTGGGTGATTGTTTAGGTGGGTGAGTGGGTGAGTGAGTGGCTGAGTGGTGGGTGGTTGAGTGGTTGGGTGGAAGAGTGGGTGGATGGGTGAGTTGGTGGATGAATGGATGAGTGGGTGGATGAGCAAGTGCGTGGCTGAATAGCTGAGTGATTGGGTGGGTGATTGGGTGAGTGGGTGATTGCGTGAGAGGGTGAGTAGGTTAGTCGGTATATTCCCACTATGTACTTATTTTATTTGTACTTTTGTGCATTATTTGTGACTTGCTCACCCTTACCTGTATTTTGCATCATTAGTCGTTTATTGTGTGCTTGTTGCTGTATCGTTTGCTGACCCCGTGCCCCCTTAACTGGACATCTGGGAGTAAAGAGCTTTACAGCTTCTCGGATTCCCCCTGGGTGCAGTCTAATTCCAGAGTCTGAGTCTGGTTCGGAACACCACCACCACCACGTTCTAACCAGAACCCCAGCACGGCATTTTAACCGCAACCCTAATCACGAACACTGCGCGTGCTGTGGAAGTTTTGATGACACACGGAACAGACACTTGTGACTTACATATCGATGACAAAACTAATAAAATAAAAAAATATAAAAATCCGCACCGAGACATGTAGCTCGCTCTCAGAAGCTTCTCGTCACGTGGACATTTAAAGTAACAGCAAAAAAAAAATAATCGAGATCGATATATATACAGCATATCTTTTGCGAAACTATTTTACAACATTACACACACATTTCATGCACAGTTTGTGTAACACAAATGTCTAACTCCGTGTACGATTTTTGTGTTAAGTTTGTTGTCATTCCGTCGCAACTCCGATGAGCACGGTTGGCTATGTACGGTGCGAAAGAAGATCAACATACATTCATACATTCAGACAAAGATCGCCCGTATAGCCTGAACAGATTGTTGGGGCAAGTGCTGTAGGTGAGTGGCACATATGAAGGTGTGGGAGGCCAACACCACGCCCGGCCGCCTTTGTCTCTCCCGTGTAGATGATTACACACCGCACCAGGTACTCATTTTAGGCTGAGTCGACCTAGGGGAGGCCCAGGACCGGTTCAGATAATCGATATCACTGGTGTTGGCCGTGATCGCGAATCGAACTCGGGCTGCCGGGTTCGTAGCGCCACGTGGTGCTAACCGCTGCACCACCGCTCCCACGTACAATATTGCGTACTGAATGCAGTCACGTGTGCTCTGTGAGTGTGTGTGTAGCTACCCGCGTGCCTGCCTGCCTGCCTACCTTGTTGCGCCGGTGTGAGCAGCGGTAGAACGAGCAGCAGCAGCGGCCAGGCAGCCATCGCGGCGGGGCTCATTGAGCGACACAGAGATGGGGGAGGAGGGGGTGGGGCTATACGGTGGAGAAGGCGGGGACAGTCATTGGGTGGGCGGGGCTATAGTGGGAGAGGGCGGGGACAGTCATTGAGAGGGTGGTGGTATATGGGCAGAGGGCGGGGCGATAGGGGGGAGAGGGCGGGGCTAAAGGGGGGAGAGGGCGGGGACAGTCATTGAGGGGGCAGGGATATATGGAGAGAGGGAGGGGCTCTATGGAGAGAGGGCGGGGCTATAATGGGAGAGGGCGGGGACAGTCATTGAGAGGGTGGTATATGGGCAGGGGGCGGGGCGATAGGAGAGGGCGGGGCTAAAGGGGGGAGAGGGCGGGGACAGTCATTGAGGGGGCAGGGATATATGGAGAGAGGGAGGGGCTCTATGGAGAGAGGGAGGGGCTCTATGGAGAGAGGGCGGGGCTATAGTGGGAGAGGGCGGGGACAGTCATTGAGAGGGTGGTGGTATATGGGCAGGGGGCGGGGCGATAGGGGGAGAGGGCGGGGCTAAAGGGGGGAGAGGGCGGGGACAGTCATTGAGGGGGCAGGGATATATGGAGAGAGGGAGGGGCTCTATGGAGAGAGGGCGGGGCTATAGGGGGAGAGGGCGGGGCTACAGGGGGAGAGGGCGGGCTATATGATAAAAGGGCAGGGCTATAGAGGGGGAGGGATGGGGCAGATACTGCAAGTCTTCGCTTAACGCGGTAGTGTTCCGAGTTATAACGGTGTACGTTCCGCGCCCGGCGACCTCTGTCTCCCCAGTGGTCGATGTTTTTACAAACCGCATCCACGTAATAATTTGAGGTTGAGTTAACCTACAGAAGTCTCAGGACTGGATCCGATAATTGCCACTGGTTTTGGCCATGAGCGGGAATCGAACTCGGGACGCTGGGTTTGTGGTGCAGCGCTGAATGCTGCAACCGCCGCTCCCCACAATGTGTGTGTACAGACATTGGTACACACACATTGGTATACACACAAATGCAAAGAAAGCCCATATAGTCTTAACAGACTGTTAAGGCAAGGGCTGTTAGCGAGTAGCACCAATGAAGGCCAAACGGCACACGAGGGGATGGGTGGCCAGCACCACGCCCAGCCGCCTTTGCCTCCCGAGTGGCGATGTTGATGACACACTGCACCAGGTAACTCATTTGAGGCTGAGTCGACCTAGCGGAGGTCAGTGGCGGTTTAAATAATCGTCACTTATGTTGGCCGTGAGCAGGAGTCGAACTCGGTTGCTAGGATCGGAGCACAGCATGCTAACCCCTACACAACCGCTGATACAGACACACAACAACAACAACAACAACCGCCATTCGCCACTAAGTGGCGGTGACGTCACCACGACGCTTGTGCCAGGCTATGTGCACCTTGAGGCCACGTGAAGTGTCAAACGCCCACTGGCAGGAGGTCACGGGGCAGACCCAGTTGCCACGGGTCGACTGACTGGGATGACCGAGACGACTGGCTGATGCACCACCTGTGCCCCCTGTGTGCCAACTTGCTGTGCTTTAGCCACCCGGTGCTCGGCGCTTTGTTGTGAGCGTCGCTACTCCCCCCTCCGTTGTTGTTGGAGGGCAACTGCCTCCAACTGCCCAATAGCGTCCTTCACGAGCCTCGTCCACAGAGGCCGATCTTGACACCGCTGGTACCAGTAATCGGCAAGTCCACTCAGCTCCACATCCTCCTGTACCACATCACTCCATCTCTTCTATAGCCCGTACCGCACCCATTTAGCCCCCTCGATCCGGCCGAGCAAAAGCTGTTTGGTCATGCGGTGATTGGGCATGCTGGCTACATAGCCCAGCCAACACAGCCTTGCCTGCCGTAGGAGCTCACCGATGGGACTTTGTCCAGATCTTTCGAGGATTTGTGAGCTCCTCACAATCCAGCCTGGTTAAACCCAGGATTGATCGTAGGCAGGCCAGCCTAAATGTTTCTAACTGGCGATGATGTTCCATTAGGGGGGTCCACGTTTCGCAAGCATAGAGAAGGGAGGGTATGACTGTGGCCGAGAAGACCCGAATCTTTGTGCGGAGTGACAGACCAGGTAGCTTCCACACAGCGTTACGCAACCGATGAAAAGGTAATGCCGCTCAACTGATTCGGAGTGAGACCTCTGCTGTTAAACAGGAGCCGGTCATAAGCACACTGCCCAGGTATGGGAAACTCTCCACTCTCTCTATAACTGCCCCATCACTGATTGGGAGTTGTGGGGGTGGAGTGCCCGATGGTTCAAAATACCCAGACAGGTGCTTCGTTTTGGTGGGGCTTATGGTAAGGCCCCACTTCTTAGTGGCACACTCCAGTTTCAGCAGCAGTACATCCAAGTCCTCCTCTGAGTGAGCCGCAATTACCAGGTCATCGGCATTCATAGCGAGGTTGACCAATAGGGAGCCATCCCTTGACCACACCCGGGCATCGATCAACCTCCCATTGTATCTGTACCAGATGGAAAATCCTCCGGTATAGCTATTGAAGGCTTCACGAACTACGTGGTCAAAATAGATGTTAAATAATGTTGGAGCCAGAGGATATCCCTGTCGCACCCCAAGGTGAACAGGGAATGGCTCCGACTCCGAGCCACGTAGTTTTTTCCCGGGCCCGCTCACCATCATGAAGGTCCTTAATGACCGTGAGCAGTGGGTCAAGAACTCCAAAAGCACGACGAACAACCCAGAGCCCAGGCCTACTGATGGTGTCATAGGCCTTGACCAGGTCAATAAAGCAGAGATGTAGGTCTTGCTGGAATTCCCTACACCTCTGCTGTAGCAAACGGACAGAAAATATGGCATCTGTGCAGGACCGCCCTTTCCTGAAACCACATTGGGGCTCCGCAAGCCTCTCCTCAGAGTGCCTGGCAAGGCGGTGTTGAATAATCCTTGCCAGTATCTTTCCCGGCACACTGAGGAGTGAGATGCCCCTGTAGTTATTACAGTCTGTGGGGTCTCCCTTTTTAAAGATGGGGACCACCAGGACATCCTTCCAGTCCTGCGGAGCCCGTCCAGTGGCCCAGACTGTTGTTATGATGTCATGTAGGGCAGTTTGTGCACAAACGCCACCCTCCCTCAGTATTTCGCTTGGTGGATCATCTCTGTCCAGTTCCTTTCCTGGTCTCAGACTCTGGATCACCTTCAGTAATTCCTCAACAGATGGCACTTCATAGAGCCACTCACAATGGGTTACTTCCTCTTCCAATATTTGAGGCTCCGCAGCCTCAGCAGGGTCATCCCCACTTTGTCCCACGATGTTTTCCATGTGGAGGGATTTCCCCTCCCCAAGTACCTCACAGAAATGCTCAGCAAATCTGCAAATCTTTTCCTGGCGGTCTGCGATTGGATCAACGTTTTTTCCCCTAATGATGGTAATAGGTGTGGTGCTGCAGGTAACTTTTTTGATGGAATTAAATAGGGATATGTAATCGCGGGCCTTTGAGGCAGACTCCATCTCCTCAGCAACCCACGACCACGACCCATCATTACAGCGCATCACGGCTCTCCGAACCTCGGAGCGAAGGCTGCGGTAAGCCTCCTCATTCTCCGACGTGAGATGCTGTAGCCGATGAGAGTGGGCCAGTCGCTTTTTCTTAGCCAGCTTGAACACCTCCTCTGTCAGCCAGGTTCTCTGGAGAGGTCTGGACCGCGTACCCAAAGCAACCATTGCAGCTGCCTGAGTCACAGTCCTTAACCTCACCCATTTACCTTCGACATCTGGAGGAGTGGGGGACTATGCCAACCCCTTCCGCAAGCGATGATGAAATTCTCGCTTGCAACTTTCATCAGCTAGCTGAGACCAGGCCACCTTAGGTCTGAATGGGGTCCTGGGTGCACACCCACCACCAGAGTGGAAGAATAGCAGGCGCATCTTACAGATGACTAGTCGATAGTCAGAGAGTAGATCAGCTCGGTAGGTCCTGGTGTCAAGGACATGAGCCCGCATCCGCTGTTTCATCACTACGTAGTCCAGCAGATGTTCTTGCCTGGAACCGGCATGCATCCTTGATGTTGCATGGATGCGCCAATGCCGGAACAGCGTGTTGGTAATTACAAGTCCATGGGCTGCACAAATATTTAGCAACCTCCTACCATTGTTATTGAGCTGATCTGGCCTATGCCTTCCAATCACTCCAGACTAGGTGCCAGCATCATGACCAACTCGTGCATTAAAGTCACCCAACAAGATGACTCCATCCCGAGGGGCCACTGTAGCTAGCACCTGTGACAGGAGGTCATAGAAGGCATCTGACTCATCAACCTTGCCTGCATCCCTCCATGGATGTTCGTCTTTGGTGGGGGCATAAGTTACCACGACCACCACTCCTCGCCTCCGGTTGATGGGAAGGCGAGCCCAAAGTAGCCTGTGTCTTACAGCTTTCCACACCTCACCACCACGTTTCCTTGCCCCCTTCATTATTTTGTTCAGAAGAAGATCCACTCCCTGTTGTTTGGCAGTCTCCTGCTCCGAGTATACGACTGTCCACCCCTCATGATGGCAGGAGCCAGAGCCGGCACACTGGACCTCCTTAATGCATACACACATTGGTACACACACACACTGTAATGCACACCCACACATTGGTACACACATTGGTACACACACATTGGTACACACACATTGGTACACACAGGATGGTGATTCGACACGCTGAGGGAGTTGAAAGCTACTTGTGTAAGGCTGTGTAGAGTTGTTTTGTTCTTATGTATGTTGCGGTGCCACGGTGGACAGGCGATGTTAACTCCCTCGCCAGGTATGCAGGAGGTCATGGGTTTGATCCCGACCCTGACGCCTGCTGTATGTTTGGAGTTTACGTGTCTATCTCTCTCTCTCTTTCCGCGGTCGTGTGGATTTTTTCTCCGGATCCTCCGGTTTTCCCCTCCACATTTAGAATCCACATCGCGCATTTAGAGTATTTGGCTGCTGATAGAAAATTCCACGTTATGATGATGATGCTATCAGCCACTTCGTTGAGCTATGATTTGGGATGGCCAGGTCGTTTCTGAAAATAGCTACGTAGGTCAATG